ACACTCTGACCTCTACATACGCACCACAGTATGCATGCATATGTACTGCATGTGTACACTCTGACCTCTACATACATACAACGGTATGCATGCATATGTACTGCATGTACACACACATGGAGGGAGGGGAGGGGAAGAGAGGAGGAGAGGGACAGAGAACAAGATGAAGGAGAGATAATAGAGGTGAGGGTGTGGGGTATCAAGGCAAGAGAAAGAAAGAGCAAGAACCTCAGGGTTAAAGGTCAAAGGGACAGCAAGTCCTTTCCCAAGCTGGGGGCTTCCTGTGGCAGGGAAGCAGCTGTGCACAGGGCTTTCTGGCAGCTGGCACGAGGCCTTGTCCAATCTCCACCTACCTCCAGATGGAATCCAGAGCCTTGAGCTGGGCTCTAGCCAACAGGCGGGAAAGAGGCCATTGTCTGTTACTACATGGGCCAGAGGGTTGTACAAAAAACATTGTTTTAGAAGAATGTATAAAAATTAAAATTTATAAACCTGAGGGCAGTGGCCAGCACGCCCCCAGAAGGTCAGATGATATAAGGATCTAAAGGAAGTACCAGGCCAAGCTGAGAGGTGGCAGGGGAGGAGGAGATCAGGATGCCATTCAGTTGTGTACTTAGCATGCCGTGTGTTTGGGGTCCTCTCTACTTGCTTCAATGTCTCATTTACTGGCCTTTTAGTATACATCAGGTTTCGGTCTGGGAGCTATAGGGGTGATTTCTCAAGGACATTTCTGGCGTTTGCCCGTGGAATGGTGCCACCTTTGAGTGTTAACATGGCCTATATAATCACCACCTGCTTCTGAATGGCTCACTTAACAATTCATCATGCCTGGCCCTAAGCAGGAGACAGGGGGCCGGGGGAGGGTGTGGGCACAGAGTCACTCAGGAGGTCAGATTCTTGAGAGGGGGGCAGATGCAGGACCCACTGGGACTGCAAAGCAGCCTTGTTGTAGGTTTGTTTAGTGGATGACTTCCAAGGCTAATTTTTTTTTAATGACTTGGGTTACATACATAAACAAGCCCTTGATAGACAAGCAGATGCGTTCAGAGGAAGGTACCTGGACATCTAGGAGCTGGATACAGGTTGGAAGGGTGAAGGTGGAAAGTCAGGCAGCATGGGCAGACATATGAGGGCCATCAGAGAAGGCTTCAGGTAGAGTGGGGCAGGTCTGACCACAGGAATGGAGAGACAGTATTAGTAGGTGGTCACGGATCATGGCAGGAACACAGGCCCGGCTGAGGAGCTGTGGCATGCCTGGTGGCTGCCACACAGGGCTCTGGGTTGGTTAACCAGGTACAGCTCTTGCAGTGAGCAGAACACCTTGCCTTGCATATGCTTGCTGCCAAGAGGCAGCTGACACCCACTTAGGTGGACCTCGGCTGCCTGTGTCTGACAGCCTCCTTCACCAGCCTGGCTTAGTACTTAGCAAGTTGGAAGCCTGAACCTGGCAGGCCTCCCTGATCCTTTGTTGTTCCCTTTGTCAAATACCAAGCATGCTGGGGGTGATCCAGGCAAGGTCCACACCAGGGCTTGGCCTAAAAGCCCTAATAATACTATTACACTGTCAAAAGCAAGTAATAACAGCCTTGCCACCTGCTGCTGGGAGACTGCTTGAGGGTACCCACATCTGCATGTCAGTTTTGCTTTCTCCTAAAAAAAAAAAGCACTGCTAGGCATGGCTCCAGGTAACTTCTGTCCCCCAAGCGGCTACTGTGAAGCTGATTGTTAAACCCACCAACAGGAGAGAGAGCTGAGGCCCTGAGATATTGGGATTCCCTCCAAAACCAGTGAACGCCCAGGTCTGACACCACACAAGTGCAGATAGACGGATGGATGGACTAGGCTCTGGCAGGCACTCCCCACCAAAGTAATAGCATGTCTTATCAGTCATCAAACATGCTTAGAGTCTCTTGTAATTAGAGAGGCAGACTCCAAAGTGACCACATTTCCTACCCATCAATTCAGCTGAGATGGTGAGAGTGAGCAAGTCTGGGGGCGATTTGCTGTCCTTATAAATGGTCATGAACATTAGAAACTGGAGAGGAAGTTCAGTCCATAAACTACACAAAAGAGAACCCAAGTTTGATCACCAGAACCCATGAGAAAATGCTGGGTGTGGTGGTACATATTGGTAACCCCAGTGCTGGGGAAACAGAGATAGGTAGGAAGAACTCACGGGCAAGTCAGCCTAGCCTACTCAGTGAGTTCCAGGACAGCAAGAGGCCCTGTCTGAAACAAAAGGTGAAAAGCACCTGAGAAATGACATCTGAGGTTGCACACGGGCCTGCACGCATGGCAGCACAGACAGGTGCACACTCAACACTCATGAACACGAACAAACATGTACACATGCACACGCACACATGTGTGCACCCCTCTCACACACACAACTGTCATGATCTTCTGGAGGACAGTTTCTGAGAATTTAAGAATATTTTAAACACACAAAATGTTTGTCTCAGATTAAATCTCAGAATAGGACACTTTATCCTGAGCTCTGACAATCACATATAGGTAAAATTCCACATACAAAGAGGGCTCCTGTCACCCGGAGATTAATCCATTTGGTTTTCTTAACCTCTCCCCACTCACTGTAGAAACAGTTACCCACTTCCACTACACGCACACACACACACACACACACACACACACACACACACACACAAAATGCCTCTTGCTCCACAGCTCTCCGCTTCCCAGAGTGTTTTGCAAGTCTCTAAATTACTTGCCAAACTGAGGGTACCCTGGGAAAGGTCCAGATGCTTACTGTGCCAGCTCCATGAGACTCCCAGTGTCCCCAGCATTGAGGGATTGCACAAGGGTTGAGAGATATAATTTCACTTGGCACCTCTGGCCACCCTCTCTGCCTCTGCCAGCGACAGCAAATTCTATATAAAGCTGCCAAACCTGGCATCTCTATGCTAAGCAGTGACCCCTTTCATCCAAGGGCAAGGCACCAGACCGCCTGTGCATAGCTTGCTGGTAATGGTGACAACTAGGCCTAGAAGAAGCCTAAACCCTGCTGGATCTAGGCAGACCCCCGACACAGGGAAGTCAATTCTCTCTGCTCCGAACTCAGGCACTGAGTAGCTACAGCTTCATCATGGAGACAGGATGCAGACACATCCTGTCTGGGTTAGCAGCAAGAAATAGGGCTCCCATAGCTGGGACCCTGCCACAGATCCAGTGGGGACAGTAATCTGGAGAACTATCTGAGCAAAGACTGTAACCCCATCAGCCCTGGAAGAGAGGTGTTTGCAGCTGTTGGCCAAGCAAGGTCTGCACACACGTGCCCGTGCAACCACAAACGAGAACCTGAGTCAGCCACAGACTGAAATAAACGCGTGTGAACCCAGGTGCTAGGCAGCCTCAACTCTCAAGCATTTACAGGCACCTCATTCTTACAATCCAATGAGAAATGTTCTATGAGGCTTTCTCACTTTGTGGATGCCGAAACTGGAGCTGAGACCTCACAGTTCCATTGCAGGCAACATGCAGGATAGCATGTACTGGTGACGGAGATGGGCACACAGTCACAGACCACACACCACCAATATAAGGTACCTATCTAAGCACACAAGACAGGGGCCCTGAAGGACCTCCATCGCCAACATTTATAGGACTTAACAAAGAGTGGCGGTAGACCAGGGGTGTAGTTCAGTTGGTAGCACGCTTGCTTAGCATCATGGAGAACAAAGTTCCCTCTTTAGTATGGCATAAGCTCTGTGTGTTGCCACATGCCTGTGATCACAATACTTGAGAGGTGAAGGCAGGAGGATCAGAAGTTTAACTTTGACTACATGGCCTGGTCCAATTTACAAGCTAGCCTGGATTACATAAAACCCTGCCTCAAAAATATAAATAAATAAATAATATTAAAAAGGCCTTTGCTATCCCTTATTGTCTTATTATTGTGTTAGAGAACGCTATGTAATTCCTCTCTGAGGTAAGGGGTAAAACAGATAAACAGTTGTGTTTTTTTAAAAACAACACTTTAGATTGCAAAAGCCCCAAAGCAGAGCAAAGCAGAGCAAAGCAGAGCAAAGCAGAGCAAAGCA